TCCAAATTTTAAAATATCAACATTCTTTTCTACTGAAAAGAAGGCACAAATTACTGAGCATTTACAATCAATTACTGAATAGATATTGATTTGTGTTGTTTACCTCTGATATGACAGGCACTGTGTTTACCCCTGAGACTTCAAGATGTGGTCCCTGGAAGGAGCTAATGAGGAGATTAGAGCTAAGTCAGTAAGAGTTTCATTTTTGAAGGTAATAAATTTCTGGAGCTAGATGGTTGCAAAAGTGAAGGTAGTAAACACCTCAGGACACCATACCTAAAATGACTAAAGTTCTCAGTTATTGGTCATGTACATTTATCTATAATAAAACAAATGAGTTAGAGGGTTCTTGTAGAGTTTACAACCTAATAGAAGCCACAGAGAAGTAAATTATTATCAGCTACAATACCAAAAGCCTGATAATAAGGACATCTTTTGGCCAGTATATGAACACAGGTAAAATATACCCATCCAATTAGGGTAGATGAGAAACAGGGAAGATTTAAAGGGAGCTTAAAGGACAAAGTGGCAAGACTGTAGACAGAAGACTGTGCAAGCGTCCCAGTGTAAGAAAATGTACCAGAACCCACCATGTTCACCAAAGCTAGCTATGCTCTACAAATTTCTAGATTTCTCCTCTGGTTGGGTTTCCAGTGGTTCATCTAAAATCTTTTGGCCTCGCCTGTTTTACCTATACAACACCTATTGGCATTCTAATAAGTTCTAATATTACCCATCTGTAATACTCACATGCACAAGCATGCATACGTACACACAACAAACACACACACACACACACGTCTCTACCCTTCTCTAATTAGACTTTGATGTAAAGTCTTGCAGCAAAGTGTATGTCCTCAGAGATACGAAGATTGGAGGCTCCTTTGATTTCTAGCCAAGAATATTCTTCAAGCTGGCAGAAGTTTTCCATGAGGCTTCCAGGGTTTGGATTTTCTATTTGTCTAGCTATTGTTATATGACCACACTATTTGGGGTAACTGAGAAGGAGGATATGGAGAGGGTTGAGCTATGAATAAACTCCATGGAACAAAACAGAATTAAGGCTCTTAGAATGACAAAATATGAGGACAGCCAGAAGGAGGGACTTGAACACGTCATGGTTGTTACCAGCTCTCTCTCTGACCAGGTCTATCTGAAGGAGTCATACCTTCATTGCCTGTAATGGAAGCTACATTAAAAACAAAAAAGAAAACGGATTCAAGTTATTTTACCACAGTCTATGAGTGGCATCTGTAATCACAGGTCAAGACGCCCACTGTCAGCAACAGTAATACCATTATCACTTTTAAGAGACAGTGAACAACATTGGCATTTGTTTCATGCTAAGGCTTCACTAGGTACAAACATCATCAGTGTAAACATCCACTGCATGAGACTGTGTTAGTTAATCTCAGAACATATTTATAGGTATCAGAGTCAACAAAGAATATTTTTGAGACTCATTCAGAGTCTTTGAATACCATTTAATATCATTTAAAAACTAAAGAGATAGGAAGGATGGTGTCATGGAGGAGGCCAAGTGTAAGGGTGAGTGAACACATAGTGACCAACTTTCTAAAAATGGTTAGAATAGCATGGGAGAAACTGGGAGATGTAAGCTGTTTATGTCAGGTGGATTATGTAGCAATAGAACTAGTATTTCTGTGATTAATTTTATTACTCTATTTCAATGCTTGACTGATATGGTTAAGCAAATAGATTGAACATATTTGGGGACACATTATGATAATTTCAATGTTAAAATAAATGTATCTTATGTAAGACATGTTTCTACAAGGTTACAAAGAATCCCTTACAATGATCACATAATCAAAAATTAACTACATCTAGATAGTACAATATTTTAAATAATAACACATGCTTACATCAAAATTAAATATTTTAAATATTTGATTTCCTGGTAAGATTGACCATTATTCATATTATTTTTATAAGGTTGATTAAATCCCTAGGTAGAATACCCTACATTTTTACCCATATCAAAGCTAGACAACTGCACATTTGCTCTGTGATATCAAACCACATGAAAAGTCACTCATGCTTTTCTCTAAATAAATCACTTTGTCTCATATAACAGTCATAATATTCATGCCCTGAAGCATTTTAAATATTCATGCAGACATGTTAAGATGCCTTTAGGTTTTAAGATAAGTGGGTTCTCTGTGTAACCTAAAGGAATTATTCCAATTCCACAAAGCAAAACAAATCACTGAACAAATCATAAATCTTCCATCTATACCATTGCCCAGATTCTCAGCTCAGAAATACTTTTTGCTATCATAAGATGAGGATAACATAATAACATAATGCTTTATGCATATATATATATATATATATATATATATATATATATATATATATATATCTTCTCTAATGATTATCAACTCATTTATCTTTTTGACAGGCCTGAGTAGTAAGGGGGGAAGCAAAATTATTTCCTTTTCAGAATTAGGAAACTGAGGTAAGGAGCTTGTGAAAAATTTTCAAAAGGTCAGAACTTATTTACAATTAAGTTAAAAGTGGGGGGAACAGAGCAATATAGAAACGCAGAGAAAAGGGATCAGGATTCTCTATCATTAAAGGTAATAATAGTTTGCTCCATTATTGAAAAATAAAAGGAGACTAATTCCTAAATACAACCCCAGTAGCACAGACACTGAGAGAAACAGTTAATAAATGAGACCTCTTGAAACTGAAAAACTTCTGTAAAGCAAAGGCCACAGTCAACAAGACAAAATGGCAACCTACAGAATGGGAAAAGATCTTCACCAAATGCACATCAGACAGAGACTGACCTCCAAAATATACAAAAAAACAAAGAAATTGGTCATGAAAAGAACAAATAATTCACCTAAAAATGGGGTACAGACCTAAACAAAGAACTCTCAACAGATGATGTGGGATTTCCCTATGTATGTTGTGATTGCCATTAATGAATAAAGATATTGCTTTGGACCTATAGCGGAACAGAAATTAGGTAGGTGGGGAAAACTAAACAGAATGCTAGGAGACAGGAGGCAGAGAAAAGCCATGTGGCCCCACAGGAGACAGATGCCAGAACTTTAGCCAGTAAGCCTCAGCAATGTAATGATACACAGATGAATAGAAATGGGTTAAATTAATTTGTAAGAGTGAGCTAATAAGAAGCTAGAGGTAATGGGTCAAGCAGTGATTTAATTAATACAGTTTCTGTGTGATTATTTCTACTCTGAGCTGCTCAGCAGCCAGGAACTAACTAGTGCTTCCTACAAACTGGTGCCGATGTGGTTGACTAAAATCCACTTAAAACCTGAGAGGTCTTAATACGGAATTCTAGACAAAAGAATAGCGTTTATCACAGCTTCTAGCTGTTTGCTGGCAATGTGCCACACTTTCTTTAAGAGAGATTTTCCTTACTCAGTGGTAGCAGGAAAAAAGCCACACTATTTTAAAATGCTGGCTTTCTGGACCATGCTTCCAGTGCAACCTCTGGCTCTTTCAGGAGACAGAGCACTTGATGGGGTTTGTGAGCAATGTGTTAAAGCTTGCTTGGTGGAAACATGGACTGACTGTGTGCCTAGATATGGGGCAGTGTGCATGGCTCTCAAAGGCAGCAAGTGGCTCCATCATGCTAGGTCGGGTAGGGCAAGCAGGCAGTGCATATTTCCCCTAGCAATGGTGCAGCTTAAGTTTTTAAGAAGCACCCTTAATCAGCAGGAAGAATTTTGGACAAAACTATGCCCATATTCACAAATATTGTTTATAAATGCTCTTTTACATTTAAGGATATGTTATAGAGATTTACATTGGTATGGATCTTGGTTTATTGATACTAACTTAAGGTCAATTTTGTTATATACATATATATATATATATATATATATTTCTGCTCTTGATTAAGGTATTGTGATTGTTCAGCTCATTTAAAAATTGTAATGTGCAATTAAAACATACAGGCTAATAGATAATTAACATATTGAGTAAATTAACCCAGAGCCAGAAAGACAAATATCATATGTACTCTTTCATAAGGGCTATTAGACATAAAACAAAGAAAACCAGTCTACAATTCACAATCCCAGAGAACCGAGACAACAATTAGGACCCTAACAGAGACATACATGGAACTAATCTACATGAGAAGTAGAAAAAGACAAGATCTCCTGAGCAAATTGGGAGCATGAGGATCATAGGAGTGGGTTGAAATGGAGGGGAAAGGAAGGAAGAGGAGCAGGGAAAAATGTATAGCTCAATAAAATTAATAAGAAAAGAAAGAGAAAGAGAAAGACAGAGGGGATTTATTAGATGAAATTCCATTTACACTGAGTTCCACAGCACACTTGCTAAAGCCCCTGTAGATAGGAGGAGCTATTCCACAGGCACATAAGACCATGAAGTTCCAGTTTAATACACCAAACTTGTCTTCTCCTTTAAGCTGGAGACAAGCAAAACTGGGTAAGTTTCTTTCATAGCTGTCTCTCAAGGACTTTCTCAGGATTCAAGACCCTGACACATGGAACTGAGGTTTCCAGTGCAACCAGTTTCTAAGGTCTCCAAAGAAGGTGGAAAGGACTCTGGAGATGGGATCCTGCAGCAACAGATGTCAGCTTTGCCACTGACTGATGGCACTCCCCATTTCTTTTCTTTTGAGAGCTCTCTTTTTAGATCCATAGCCCATTTTTAAAATGTCATTTGTTTCTTGACTCTTTTTTGAGCCCTTTATATGTTCTGAATATTAATTCTATGCCAGATGTATAGATTGCAAATAATCTTTCTTGTTTGGTTGTCTTCTTCTTCACATGATACATTGTTCCTTTAGCTGTGCAAAATTTTTATTTATACAAAGTCCCTTTTGTCTCCAAATGGAGCAAAGACCTAAATGTGAAAAGTCAATCCTGACCTTATTTCACTAAAAAGTTAACCACGCATCTACATTAGTACATTCAGGCTACTATTAGAAATATTACAAAGTGAGGGGATAATAAACAAGAGAAATTTACTTTTTAATATTCTAAAAGTTGGGAATTCCAAGAAAATAGTGTGAGCAGGTCTGATGTCCATTGATGTCTTCATTCTCCGTCATAATTCGTGCCTTCCTTCTATGACCTCTCATAGGAGAAGGGGTGTAGAGTCTTCCTTGGATCTCTTTTCTAAATGTAAAAATGTTATTCGTAAGGGATCCACATTCATGACCAAATTTTATTCCCAAAGACCCCATCCTCTAATATTATCACTTGGGAGTAGGTAGGATTTCAACATAGAGTTTAGAGGCACAAAAACACCAACCTCAGGTTCTCCAATAAGCAAGGCAAGAAAATGAATTCCTGGGTAGATAGAAGAGGAGAGATTCAGGAGCCTGTAAACACCTGATTGTCTCTGCCAAAGACAACAGAAAAGAAACTAGGAGAAAGGCGAACATGTTCTAGAGAGCATCAGATTTTTTTTTCAAAAAAAAATCTATTTGATCCTATTTCTGAAGATTCTTTTAACTTTGGAGGTGGGTCAAATACCTTAATTAAAATTACAATTAATATTCCAGGCTATGTAATATAAGGGAGAGATGAAATACATTCACCATAATTGTATGGATGATGTATCAATTAGTTGTCTCATTGCTGTGACAAAATACCTAAATTAAAAAGAAAAAAAACTCCTTAAGGAAGGCATGGACTGATTTGGCTGTCATTTGAGGGTATGGTTCGTCATTATAGTCCACCATGGTAGAGGTGGCAAAGATGCAGGAGAGTGAAGTGATGGGTCACCTTGTATCTATAGTCAGGAAGCAGAGATGGACGCATACCAGTGCTCAACTTGCTTTCTCCTTTTTATTTGGTCCTGGACAGATTCAGCCATTAAATAGTATTGCCCACATTCAGGGTTAGTCCTCCATCTCATCCTCCACTAGCTTTTTCTATAAAACTCCTAATAGACATACCGGGGAAATGTTTCCATGGGAACTCCAACCAAACCAGGTGACAACTACAATTAGACACTATACACAATTCATATGTTTATTATTTGTCCTGTGGCATTCTTTTTGCTGTAGTTCATAATGTTTCATGCTTAATTTTCCACATTCCTTAATCTAAAAAAAAGAGCACAAGTCACAATCCTTGCATTAGACTATAGAAATGGAAGAAAAGGTGTCAAGTGACATTTAGAATTATTGGGATAAAGAGAAATAATATTTGTTTTTGTTTTGCTTTGGTTTTTTGCTTTTATTAAGCCATATATTTTCTACACTTTCCTCCCAACTTCTCCCCTCCCTTTATACCCTCTCTCATGATCCCATGATCCCAATTTACTCAGGAGATCTTGTCTTTACCTACTTCCTACATATATTAGATCCATGTATGTCTCCCACAGGGTCCTCATTGTTGTCTAGATCCTCTGGGATTGTGAATTGTAGGTTTATTTTTCTTTGCTTTATGTCTAAAAGCCAGTTATAAGTGAGTACATATGATATCTATCTTTCTGGGTCTGGGTTAACTCAATATGATGACTTTTCTCGATCCATTTCTTTGCCCACAAATTTCAAGATGTCATTTTTTTCTCCATTGTGTAAACGTACCATGTTTTCTTTATCCATTCTTAAGTCGAGGGGCATTTAGGTTGCTTCCAGGTTCTGCCTATAACAAACAATGCTGCTATGAACATAGTTCAGCAAATGTCTTTATGGTATGATTGAGCATCATTTGGGTATATACTCAAAAGTGGTATTTCTTGGTCTTGAGGAAGATTGTTTCTTAAATTTCTAAGAAATTGCCATACTGATATCCAAAAGGACTGTGCCAGCTTGCACTCCCACCAGCAATGCAGAAGTGTTCCCTTTACCCCACATCCTCTCCAGCATAAGTTGACACCACTGTTTTAGATCTTGGCCATTCTTACAGGTGTAAGATGGAATCTCAGAGTTGTTTTGATTTGCATTTCTCTGATGACTAAGGATGTTGAGTATTTCTTTAAGTGTCTTTCAGTCATTTTAGATTTCTCTGTTAAGAGTTCTCTGTTTAAGTCTGTACCAAATGTTTTTTACTGGATGACCAATCTTCTTTTGATGACCAATTTCTTGAGTTCTTTGTATATTTTAATGATCAGCCAGCCCACTGTCTGATGTGCGCCTGTTGAAGATCTTTTCCCATTCTGTAGACTGCCATTTTGTCTTGGTGAACATGTGTTTTGCGTTATCGAAGCTTTTCAGTTTCAGGAGGTCCCATTTATTAATTGTTTCTCTCAGTGTCTGTGCTGCTGGGGTTGTATTTAGAAAGATGTCTCCTGTGTCAATGTGTTCAAGTGCCCTTCCCATTTTCTCTTCTATGAGGTTCAGTGTGGTGGGTTTTATGATGAGGTCTTTGATCTATTTGGATTTGAGCTTTGTGTGTGGCAATATATGTGAATCTATTTTCATTCTTCTACATGTTGATATCCAGTTATGCCAGCACCATTTGTTGATTATGCTGAGAAATAATACTTGTTATGCTTCAGATTTGGTAGGGTGAAAGACTGGAGAAAGTTAGACCACATTGGAAGAAAATGGAATGGTAGTGAATGGGTAAATTCCCTAGCCAATAATTACACTCTTCTCCTTTGGCAAATTTTAGTTTCCTCCTGACCTTCCTTCAGAGAAAATATTGTTGGCCACCTATACTGTGTGGAATGTTTAGATGCTGTCCGCCTAGAACACAGAAAAATTGAAATTATTCTTATGGTCCTATGTTCCTATATGAGTTATAAATTGAAGAAGTATAATATAGCTTACTAAAAGAAAAACAAATAATAACTAAGTCCATATAGTGTCTTTAGGGGTTCACTTTGGGAACAATAACATCAGTCCTGTTAAAAATACCTGTAACACAGTTTACTGAGACTCATAAAATAGAGTTTGTTTCATATTTCTCCATAAACCAGGACCCTCCTGTGTTAGAACATTGTACCCTCAAAATTGAGCTATTAGTAGTTCTAAAACACATGTTACTGGTGCTAAAGACAAACGGCTGTTTGTCAACCACCAGATTACTCTTCAGGGTAAAGTGACACATAGTTTTCTCTTAACATTTTTGTCAAAACTGCTAGGATGCTGAGAGACCCCTGACAGATGAAAGCCACCTAGACATATACTATCTTGAAGTTTCTGTCTTATTAGAGAATAAATATTGTAAAGATTAACAATTTTCTATTCAGATTTGCCAGGGATGGGTTGAAAAGGGTGAAATACTTCCTGAAAAGGGAAGGAGGCTTTCCCAGTTGCCCTTCAATAAACACATTTAAACGGCCTCACCAATGCTGCTTTAAGCAGCTAATGAGGCAAATTTGTCCTTCATGTTGATAGGTAGCCATGCAATGATGAATGATTATATCAAAATCATTGCCTGATCTAAGTTCCTGTAGACTTCACTCGTTCTACGGGCAGTTTGAAGTATCAAAATGATGCTCCTCCTACTCCCTTTGAATCTGATGTGAAGCAGGTTTGATTCTCAGAAACGCTGCTGTTCTTAATGAACTGTAATCAAATCAGGCGAATTTTCTCCAGCATTCAGCTGCTATTATCTTCCATCTAGATACTATCATCATTTTTTGAAAAGGGAACAAATACTACCTTATAATACGCAAATACAGCATCTTTTGCTAAGGGTGAGCAGGAAGCTATTTCTTGATAAAACAACTAACCCTGTGGGAGCCAGAGGTTTCTTTCCTTAGTAATATAATAAAAATATAACATGCACACAATCTAGACATCTCTAAATTTTAGGCACTATAATGCATAGTTAAGTGATCTAAGCATGTTTCTAAATGTAAACAATCAAAAACTCAGTCTTTCTATTCAAATACATCCAAATCTTAAAGATTTGAAGTGATTATGGACCCTGTGTAGCTTTAAGACTATGTATATTAGATGCATACAATTAAGATGGGGTTTGAAAGCATTCATGTACCTAATGCATCTTCTTCTAAACTAAATGGTTCAAAGTGGTTCTAGGTGAAAGGCTCTGAACCTGTACTGCACATTAAAAATTTTTAGGGAGATTTGTAAAACTCATGACATCCAGACTGTACTCTAGCCCAAATAAAGCAAAATATCCCTCTGCACAGGACCCAGGAGCAGTATTTTTTTATAACACCTCCCCAGAGATTCCAAAGCTTCAGTAAATTTGAGAAATACTTATCTAAGAGATGATCACATGGAACTAACAGCTTTGTTATTTAAAAACAGAATTTCTTTAAAAGATGGGAAAGGGCTTTGCTATTTAACCTTGGCTGTCCTCACACTCTCAACCCCCTCCCCCGACTCCCGTTCTCAAACTCAAGTGTGGCGGAACTATAGGCATGAGCTGTCACACCCAGCTAAGAGCATGAAATTTTGAGAAAAATAGATGTTCAGATTACAGACTATCACAAAACTAATCTCCAGTAATTTCCAATTATTTTCTATATCTTCTCAATGACTGCTTGTTAGATTTTTTTCTAGTGCCCTACTTCATTTTGAACATTCAGATTTATTTTTATAAATGACAGTAAACTTTTAATTAGCAAAGTCTAAAATTAGAAAAGACTGGCCTTTCTGGAAGGTGTATTTGTGCCTCCAAGTGGCAAGGGGATTTAAGAAAGCCTTTGTCAATACATTGTCTCTATGCCCATTGGAGCTGTACAAGAGCCCTTACAACCTACCTTTGCTTTAACGAGGGTGAAGTGCAGAGCTGTGCATTCCATTGCTAGCATTACAAATTTAACAATGGGATTTACGAGGTGTGCACTTGCCAGAATGTCTCTAATGTTCAGGTTCACTCATCCTGAATCTTAAATTGGCTCTCTAGGTGCTATTTTAATCTGTACAGAACCAATCACACACAGCTCACAATTGGTGGGTCCAAAGAAAAGCACACAATAATGTGCAGCAGATAGGGTTTCTGTCAGTGAAGGCCATTGTTAGCCAGGAGTGAAAATACAGGAATCCTGCTAAAGAGATGAAACATTTCTTATGGTTCCTGAATTGTGAAGGGAAGAAGCAGGCAAAAAGGTAAAATGCTAAGTCTTCTGGGAGCTGCAACAAGAGAAACACACGGACACATAATGATAGGCGGCAGTAATCCGTTTTACATTGTAACAAGCAGAGCAATAAGGGTCACAGTAGATTGCACAAAATGTATTGAAT